TTTGAATTTCCGCTTGGAACTGGAGATATAGCACCAGAATCGGAGGTACCTCCCAAAAATTTAGAATTAATATGCACATATCTATTGATTGGTTGAAGACACAGTCTCCAAATTTGGAATACGTAACGGAATTTGGAACAAAAATAAGTTTGCCAAATTATATTGTAATCGGTTCAGATTTGGATATAGCTCCCATATATATTTTCGACCGATTTCGTTCATTTGATGCCTCAAACACAATATGAATGTTCGATTCCAATGAAATTTGGAATGTGTGACGGGATTTAATCCGAAAATAAATTTGTCAAATTATATTGAAATCGGTTCAGATTTGGATATAGCTCCCATATATATTTTCGGCCGATTTCAAGCATTTGATGCACCAGACACGCTATGTATCCCCAATTTCAATGAAATTTGAAACGTGTGATAGATTTTATCTAAAAAATTGATTTCACAAATTATATTGAAATCGGTTCAGATTTGGATATAGCTCCCATATACACATGCCACTCAACTTCAAAAGATTGCAGTTTACTGCACGCTTGGTATTTGCTATGAAATAAATAAATCCGAAGGACAAACCCTTCGTGTATGTGTGTCATGTTACTGCTTTTCTAATGGTTTTGGTTATTTACGCATTAAAGTAGTGCAATATATTTTTTTAATTTTTAAATTTGTTTTTTTTTAACATATATAACATATATTCGTAAATAAAATTTTGAATGCATATACAATCAAAAGGGGTAGCGAAGCGCACCGGGTTCAGCTAGTCGGCTATAAACGCACATTTTCGGCTCTTTTCTCCGAAACTGTGTTGTTGACATTGTTACGTTTCGGCTTATTCATTGTTGGTGTCATCACTTTTCTTACCTCGTTGTAGCTGCAGTCTGTGTAAATGTCTCCGAGAAGTGATTGCAGGTAATATAATCTAGGGAAAATTTATATTTTAATCCTTGGTTGTTGTTGTTGTAACAGTAGTACATGCATGTGTTTGCGTTCTGCTAATCTGGTTCCAGCTCCAGGTATAGAAATTCGGTTACTTTAATGGGCTGTAGCCAGAGATCTTCTGGAGTGGGTTGGGTAGGTTTTGCTGTGCAATTAAGGAGGACACGCAGGGCAGGCGTCACGCACATCTTCATCAATTCGTGCCCAATACGAATTGAGACGACTACACCATCCTGAACATAATTGTCCCAAAACTACCCTGGTTTGTAAGGTAGCTGACGTTCTTAAGCTGCAATGGGTGGGGGTGGACTCCGAGGACGGCATTCATTATACCCTACACCACAAGGTGGTCAGGGTATTATGTCTTTGTGCATTTGTTTGTAACAGGCAAAAGGAAACGAGATAGACCCATAGTTCCTTTTAATGATCTGCATAGAATCACATTCTGAGACGATTTATGCATGTCCGTCCGTCCGTCTGTCCATGTATTTTTGTAAACAAAGTACAGTTCGCATTTATTGCCCTATCCAGATGAAATTTTGCACAAATCATTTGTTTGGCCCAAGGACGAACCCTATTGTTATTGGAGATAATCGGTCAAAATTTAGATATAGCTCCCATATATATCTTCGTTCGATTTGCCTTTTATTGTGCATCAAACGTGTAATATCAGCCCGAATAGTATGGAATTTTGCACGTACGATCAGATTGGACCTGAAAATAAGTATGCCAAATTTGATCGAAATCGGTTCAGATATAGCTATAGCTCCCATATATATTGTTCATCCGATTTGTTATTTTTGTCCTCCGCAGCCGTAATATGCACTCTGTAACAACAATATTTGGGGAAATATATCAAATACAGCTCAGAAATACATTTGCTAAATTTTATCGAGATCGGTTCAGATTTGGATATAGCTCCCATAATATTTGCCCAAATTGGATGAAATTTGGCACTTACGACCGAATTGAGTCTAGAAGCTGGTATGTCAAATTTGGTGAAGATCGGTTCAGATATAGCTATAGCTCCCATATATGCTGTTCATCCGATTTGTCATATTTGTTAGCCACAGCGGTAATATGCACTCCGTAACAACGATATTCAGGGAAATATATCAAATACAGCTCAGAAATATCTTTGCCAAATTTTATCGAGATCGGGGCTTCTTGATCTAGAGGTTCTCTCTTGTAGCGCTATATCATGTATGTCCTTCCTGACACGCCTGGTTGGGGGAGATTTATCCACCATATGATGGTTGGGATGACTCTTACGGTAACAACCAAGCAGGTACTGCAACGAATGCATATGATTATGCTGACGTAAGGGAAAGACTTTCCTCATGTATATGGTCCACTGGTGTCATGAGAAGGCACCCTGTCGCAGTTCTCAGGGCTGCGTTCTGGTAGGCCTGAATACTTTTCCACTGCGTTGCACTTGTATTCGCCGACAACACTGGAGCCGCATAGCTAACCACAGACCGACCTATCGCGTTATAAGAGATCAACAAGGTTTCTTTGTCCGCACCCCAAGTGCTTCCGGCTAGCGCCTTGAGGACCTTGTTCCTACTTTTCCACTTGTCGCAGATAGCTGTGGCTCGAGCGGACGACTTGAACATGCTGTCGAACGTGACCCCTAGAATCTTGGGGTAGATCGTGGTCGGTATTAGATTTCCCTCGACCTCCACATTCATCTCCGCAGACCATGTGGTAAAGAGTGTGGCCGTTGATTTTGTGGCGGATATTTTCCTATTCCTCGCGTGGAAGTATGCGGCAAGCTCCGCGAGATAGGGGTTCAGCCTTTCACATATTTCATCGACCACTGGGCCTGACGCCATGATCGTACAATCATCCGCATACGTTACGATCTCAATGCCGTCTGGAGGGCGAGGAATTCCGGAAAGGTAGAGGTTAAACAGTTCCGGAGATATCACTCCACCTTGGGGAACTCCCTGTTTCACCCTACGGGCTTTGGACTTCTTGTTCCGGAATTCCACGTACGACTGGCGTCCACACATATAGTTGATTATACAACGTTTCAAACAAACTCTCTGCACGCCCTCAAACAGTATACATGTACATGCTAATCCTTGGTCATTAATTCCGTTGACGATGTTCTGTGTTATTATATCAGCATACGTCGTGTTGTCGTTTTGTCTGTGTCATTGTAGTGTGCACATCAGCTGCGTCTTCGTTTTGAGGAAAATCTGAAAGGAACTTGTTAACAAATTGCGGCCGACACAGAAACACCTCCTACAAAGAGTCAACCCAATACTTGGCAGCACCACCCATTTTTTGTTGCACTGCAAATATAACTGATACGTCGTCCCAGTTATATACGTCTATAAATCAACACGCCGTACAAATTGCGAAGTGTTTATAGATTCTTTCAATGATGAATTAAATTCTGGCAGCTGTTGAACTAATCTTTTTACGTTTCCAAAGAGTTGTATTTTGGGCAATTAACATGCCCGTGCAATGAAGATGTGAACTTTGGTAAACCAGGCGAAGCATTCTTAAAGACCGTTGGAATTACTGACGTTGTCGACTCAAAATCTGATTGTTACCATATCTTCCAATTGAGAAATTAGTTTTTACATATAATGGGGAGTTGCGAATCCGTGCAAATCCTTATCGTTGGAAACTTTGGTTCGTTCAATCAATTGTTTTTGTTTCGATAATGAGAAATACCAATTTGTCTGCATTTTGCTTGCTATTGCTTTAATGTGCACTTGTTGAAATCTTCCATCCTTTCTTGGTAGTCGCTTCTTATCCAGAGATCCCTTAACCCAAATGAAATAAAGACCGTTGGAATTACTGACGTTGTCGACTCAAAATCTGATTGTTACCATATCTTCCAATTGAGAAATTAGTTTTTACATATATTGGGGAGTTGCGAATCCGTGCAAATCCTTATCGTTGGAAACTTTGGTTCGTTCAATCAATTGTTTTTGTTTCGATAATGAGAAATACCAATTTGTCTGCATTTTGCTTGCTATTGCTTTAATGTGCACTTGTTGAAATCTTCCATCCTTTCTTGGTAGTCGCTTCTTATCCAGAGATCCCTTAACCCAAATGAAATAATACATAAACCTTTATTAAGAAAAATTATTCAGAGATCTAACATATTCGTGTTGTCAGAGTGGCTTCTTATGTTCAACTACCTCTTGCATTCTCAAAATACTTTACATTCTCAAATTACATGGTTACATATCCTAGGTATCTACTACTGTTTTAACATCTCACCAAGCAAACTCCTTCGATTGTTTGATTCGATGTCATAATTAATATCATGTGCTATAGTGCACATGTGGATGGAGTAAATTACATTTTTTTAACGGGGTCATAGATAATAGCCTTTGAACAGTTAACGAATTCAAGAAGAAAATATATCAAAGAGATCAAGCGTTTTGATTTTTGTTTTCAATGGTTTGAAATGACAAAAAAAATGACTCATATATTCTTAGACACGAATTTTCGCCTGGCCTCATTTTGATCGAACCTGTTCAGTTATAGCGATGATATTAACTGAAAAGGCAACAGGAACAACGAGTTTCCAAATAGGTGATGACGATACAAATTCAAAAAGTTCTTATAATTTTTCAAACAATGTAGATAAGTTCTCAAATCGAAAATATATTGAAAAAAAGTTTTTATCGATGTCAATTCCAATTGCGATGCCAATTACAAGTCCTTTACACATTTACAAAAGTCAGCAGAGATTTTTCTGTAATAAAATAACAACTAATTAGCAAAAAAAAACCTTTAAACACAAATAATCTTTGTTTCGTGACACCAACAAGTACAAAATTTTGATCACAAAAATAATATAATTATGTGTGTGTTTTGTCTCTAAACCAGGAAAAGGAACCGATCTATTAAAAAAAAAACTCCACTAAAGTAGCGCCTAAAAATTGCACCTTTCAAAACTTCGATTTAATTTTTGGATGGTTTGAATTTATGAAAATTTTTTATTTGCGAGATTCTACTGTAAATAATTAACAACATATACATTTGCTGGAACCTATTTTTATGATTTACATTTTTTATTTTAGTATATTGATGCAATATTGGAAAATCTGACCCCGGACGATGTACGTTGTCTTATCATAGCCGAAGATGAATTAGCACGAAGCTCACCTTTGGAACGCATATTCCCAACCGCAGAAACACATAAATACTTGAAATACACAGAAACCCCACGTTATTATAACCGCTTGTTGGATGCATGGGAGACACGGTACAGTCACAATCGCATTGAGGGCATTAATTTACTACGACAGTATTGTGAAGACAGATATCACCTTCAAGTACCGCAGATACCCACAAAGAAGGTAAATATTTCATCTTAGTTAATAGGTTGTTATTTTTTTCAATACTGAAATCTTCCTCCGCCGGAGGACTTCTTATAATAAAATGTTCATTGCATTCATTAATTAACAAAATGTTTACATATTATCCCCACACCCACTCACTCGTACATGTTTTCAAATATCATCAATAAAATTCTTAATAATTGAGGGATGTTGGAGAGCAATCGTGTCTCTATATTGGCGCTGTCGTGCCTTATATTCTCGTAAGTTTATCATATTTCGGTAGAGTAGAGGACAGATAACTTATGCTATGGACACACATGCACACAACCCAGTGTAAGATAGTTAAACATGCGGTATCTAAGAAAACTCCAAGGAATAAAGTGTGCATTATTTGCCAAAAAGATGGCATAATAATTTACTGAGCTTTGAAACATTTGTATTGTGCGATAGGAATAAGCTATATCTTTGTGCGTAGGTAGGTTTGTCTTTGCTAAATAAACAGGCGCATGAAACGGGTTTTATTGAGGATCTAAAACTTACAACACAACCTACATAAACCTCTTTAAAATGGTCATAATTTGAAAGAATGGCACATGTAATATATTTTGTGTGTAAAATTCAATTTGGAATACCTTATTTACAATAGCACCCTTAATAGATTCTATGCGTTAACCGCTAATTTACAAGCAAAAAAAATAATCGAAAATAGTTTTAAAATTGTCAATAAATATATAACCGTTATTAATACTGGCCAAAGCAAAGTAATTACTTTTAATTAATCATTATCTACTAATAATTAATGCTGTGCTAATATTTTATAAATTTAGGTGCCGCGACTTGTTAATGAGAGTTGCCATATTTTGAATGTTGCAATATGAGATGTCATACTGTTTACCTTGCAATACGCGGCGCAATATTGTTATAAATGTTGGTTGCACCAACAATATGAATGCGTATTATGCATCGGAGTTCGGCCAGACTTCGAATTCGAAAATCGACTGAATTTTTGCTGGCTTTCTAACCGACTTATAGAAATCGGAGTATAAATGACATATCCATATGATTTCCTTAGTTGCTTCTGCTTTTGATACTATTTCAGCATCTGTTGTTAAAGTAGCTACCATTGATTGCCGTTGATATAACCAGGAAACTATTCCTCCAGCAAATTTGACAGCAACTCCGTATGTTTGAATCCAAAATTCACTAACAAGTTTCTATGTTTTCGATTCCAGCGCCTTGGAGCTTGAGGAGTGTATAGCGCTGTAAGCCTGTGCGTAACACCATACTGATTATAAATAGCACGAACGTTATGATTGTCGAATTCTCCACCATTATAAGTTAGCAACTCTCTAATGGGATGACCTTGCGCTTTTCCTATTTACGGCGATGCCGTAAAAAAACGTGGTATTTGTAAAATGTTCGACTTTTTGTAAAACTTGCTTCATATCGCTTAATATGAACTGCTTAAAGGGCCGTCCACGATTGTAGCAATTTGTAGTCGACCCAGGTATGCATCTAGGCCTTGTCGCCAAAAATATTGAGTATCGCAAAAATTTTACTTTATTTCTATGCTATCCGAATTACATTCACAAATAATCTTTTTTTTCTTACCTTTCGAAACATGGCTTGGTTTTTTTAAATGGGGTTTCATTCAGCTCGAACCATGGTTTTGGTTCGATTCAGTGTTATGTCTTAATGCATAACCAGTTTCGCACACTACTTCATTAAATTAGTCGCTGTGGCTAGCCTTCAAGCAATTTTCAACATATTTATAGCAAAAATATATCTAATTATATGATTTTAACTGTACGATATGAGGAACTAATAAAAATAATAAAGCGTTGTTTCCATGTCGTAATTTTGGAGACACAACTTGTTGAACAGAACCATTTTTTTAATTTGAAATACTGTTTTTTTAAATTCTTCACATCAATATAAAATATGTAAATAAATTAAATGCTTTAGTTGTTAGGACATTTCATTTTAAATCTCGAAACATTAGAAATTAGGTCCAAAGAAAAAGAAAATCCAACGCCTCAAGCTCTAATTATCTATCTTTTTATAAAAATATTGAATTTTAAAATACCAAAATGCAATAAAATATATATGCCGTTAACCTCTTTTCGAATATATTTTGCAAAAAGAGAGACAATATATATCCCATAAATTAAAGGCGTTCTTATTGTAAGATAACAGAGTGGTTCAGTGTGCCAAACTATAAAACCGTGACTCTTAAGTTAAAGAAATTATAATTTTAGATTTTTTATTGTTCGAATGCAAATGTAAACAATGCTTTTGCGGAAATATTTGCGACTCCGGAGTGGCGCTTTCCGTTAGTATGTAGATTCCGCACCGGATTTAAAATGAATTCAGTCATCAGAAGATCTGTTTTAATATGATAAATCTGGTTGAATACATAATAACATCCAAAATTACAGTTCGTCCATTATTTTCTCAGTCATTGCTGTGTTTGGCTTATCAGAAATATTTTTACACTTGGGTGTGCGTGTGTGCTAAAGAAATATATAGTGAGTCCAACTTGAATAAGTAGCCAGCGATCTTGGTTAAATTTCTGTATTATTTTGAAGTATATTTGAAGACCTAGTCACTTTGCTTTAATTTAAACCATATGTGTATAATCTATGTAGGAAACATTTTTAGAAACCCTTGGGGATATATATTTAAAATTTAAGAGAATAAATGAAAGTAAATTCAAAAAAGTCAAAAGCGTAAGTTTATTTAGAATAATAAAGATTTAAATATATGCCAATTCCTAATTTTATGAGTAAATATTTAGTATATTTTTACAAAATATATATTTCATTATTATTCCTTTGTAATTAATTTGTGTATTAGCCAATTCATTTTTTTTCTTACTATACATAAACATTATTTAAACTTCATTAAACATGTTGTGCAGATTTCATTCCTAAGATCACTGCAAATACTGTTTGGAAATATACACAATGAAGAGGTGTTTTTGAAAACTTAACTTATCATCAAAACTCGAAAAAATCCTGTATCAAATATTAAAACCTTTTGCTTTTCACAGAAAATATCAATAAACTTTTGTACTCCTTTTTGACAATTTAATACAGAGCCGGAATCTCTTGAAAGTTACGGGCTTTATAGATGTTCATATGGAAGTTATTTTATGAAATATTCCTACCATTGCATAAATATTAACAAAGTGCGGCACTTACTTTGAGATCATTCATTTTTATACCCTCCACCATGGGTAGGAGGGTATATTAACTTTGTCATTCCGTTTGTAACACCTCTAAATATTCGTCGTAGACCCCATAAAGTATATATATTCATAATCAGCATAAAATTCTAAGACGATTTAGCGATGTCCGTCTGTCTGTCTGTCCGTCTGTCTGTCTGTCTGTCCGTCTGTCTGTCTGTCTGTCCGTCTGTCTGTCTGTTGAAATCACGATAGAGCCCACATTATTTGACGTAGACCTTTGAAATTTGGCACAAGTGTGTGTATTGTCCCTAGGATGGTTGGTATTGAAAATGAGATATATCGGTCCACGTTCTGGTATAGTCCCCATATAACGGTACCTCCCGATATTCGGTATTTTGATGATTTATGCCACATTTTTTCACGGATTTATCTGAAAATTGGTATTTGTAGGTCATGACGGGTCCCTGAGCGTGTGGCAAAACATTGCATGTATAGGTCCACGTTTTGGTATAGCCCCCATATAACGGTACCTACCGATATTCGGTATTTTGATGATTTATGCCACATTTATTCACGGATTTGTCTGAAAATTGGTATTTGTAGGTCACAACGGGTCCCTGAGCGTGTGGCAAAACATTGCATGTATAGGTCCACGTTCTGGTATAGTCCCCATATAACGGTACCTCCCGATATTCGGTATTTTGATGATTTATGCCACATTTTTTCACTGATTTGTGTAAAAGTTGGTATTTGTGGGTCATAATGGGTCCTAGTTCGTGTGGCGAAACATTGTAATTATAGGTGCACGTGTTGGTGTAGCCCCTATATAACGGTACCTCCCGATATTCGGCATTTTAATGTTTTTTGCCACATTTCTTCTAATGTTCTTTTACCCTAGGGTGGAGGGTATTAAAAGTTTGGCCCGGCCGAACTTAATGTTTTTTTACTTGTTTTGTAATCAATGTGTCTTCCATTGTTTTAAATAAAAAAATGTAATGTTTATTGTTCGATAAGGCTTTAATATCAGATAACTGACCTTGTCTTTCCGGGCTTGAACATCAGAATTACAAAACTTTTAAGCCTGTATTGAAGATAGTGCCAAATTGAAAAATGTAGTGTGCGTATCCTTTAAAACAGAAACCCCCTGTTAGCTTAGCTTCCCCCTAACTATTTTGTTGGCCTTTGGTCAAATTTATGGCTTGAATTTATGTATTCAATATTGGTTTTTCGGAAAGTAATTTTCCGTTAATAATAAAATAAGCCCAATCAATAAACGTATTATGTTCCATAGTTCTTTGATATGCACGCCCTATTATGTTATAATGTGCAACTGAAATTCTTCATGAAATACTTGTATCCAACAACAGTGACGTAATAGCATATATTTTTCGAAATTCAACTAAAATTATTATTGAACGGCCAGTTTACATTTTCACATTCCACATTAAAAAATTAAATTACCGACCCTTAATGCTAAAATGGTTAATATCTATCATAAATTTTGTTGTGACAGATTTAAATATTCGACAAAAATATTTATCTTTTTTTCGGTTGTTTGTAATTGCAGTGACAAGGTTTTTCAACAAAAGGATACTTTGAGAAAGCCTCCAAAAAAGTCAATGTTTCTCAAGAGGAATGTGCAAAAAGATATGTATGGAAATGTAACTAGAAGATGAGTGCGGATTTGAATTCCGTCGCTTTCGAATACTATTCCTACCAAGGTATTCGCTGCGTTAAAACAATTATTGTTAGTCGTATGTCTGCATTGAAGTTTCAATTACAATTACCGGCTTAAATTGAGCTGGTGGCAAGGTGAAATTGCCTGTTTTGGCACGCCCTCTTAAACCACTGTATTCATTTCTCCGCGGAAGTACAATCCAAGCAAAATATTTCCTGTCAAATACAAAAAAAAAATAAAATTTCGTCATTTGGAGTTGTAATTTTTATACCCTACAACACTATGTGTTGGGGGTATTATAAGTTTGATTGGGCCAAAAATTATGTAACACCTCGAAATATTGATTTCCCACATAGGAAAGTATATATGGATCTTCCTATCTCGCCGAGTTG